ATATAATTATTTTCAAAGTCAATTTACTACTTATATATTGAATACTTATTCATATATTTTAATTCTCAAAAGGTTAATCAAACTTCATGTAATATTATTTTTACAATTAAAATTTTAATTTATATTCTTAAGCTGAACTGAAGTATGCACAATGCATAAAAACAATTAAGGATATTTTCTTATTTAATTTGGTCGCAAATTAGATAAAAAATATTCTTCCATATTGGAATCGACTGAAGCTTTGTAAAAAATGAATGATTAATTTTATTTAAAATTAATAATCTTATCAGGAATTAATATAGAGTATATTCTAAAACTATTTTTCAAGTATGATTCATTTGGAATCAATCATAATATTTTTTTATCCCCTCATTATGTCTGTTTAGACATTTTCAGTTTTTTTTAATCGCTTCTATAAATATCTGTTTTAAGCATTTCACCAATTATTATAATTATTTTATTAGCTCAATTACAAGAAGGTTTGTAAAAAAAAAAATAATGGAATGATATTTGATCATCAATAAATGTTTTTATTATGTTATGACGGCTGCTTTTTAATGTCTCTAGATACCATGATTCTAAGAAAAACAAAAGGTTATGTTATTTTTACGATGACCATTTGAAAAGATAATAACATCAAATTCAGTACTCTACAAATAAAACAAAGAAAACTTAGAGGAATATAATAATTAAGTTAAATCAGCTAGAAAATTAAAAAAGGAATTATAACTTATGAAATTCAATATATTATTATTTCAATTCAATTTTCATAATTCAATTAGCCACATTTTTCATTCTTCTTAAAATTTATTTCATCCCATACACCAATTTTTTTTCCATGTTTGTATTCACCTTTATAAATTATTTACGACAATTCGTCAAACTCATCGCTCAACTCAATCCATAATCCATTCCTTAGTGAATTGACACAATCTAATTAATCATCATATTCTCCACCACCTCTTTATTTTATATGAAATAAAATTTTACTTCTCTTGATTTACACCCTGTATTTTACCTAAAATAACCCAAATACCAACTTTTTTACAATTTTTATATTCACCCTAATAAGTAACTTAAGAATAACAATAAAAACTATCACTCAACTCAATCCATTTTCCATTCTTAAAAGACCCATTATTGTCGTATAATCCACCTCCGCTAAAATAGGATTTTAATATTGATAAGATCTTACACAATTTCTCGTCCAAACTCAATACACCAGTAACCAGCTTTCCTACCGTTTTTATATATACCATTGTAAGTAACGAATGAATAAACACCAAATCTATCACTCAACTCTATCCATTCTCCACATTTTATAGATCCTTATTTATCATAAAATCCACCTCCACTAAAATAAGAATGTTTAGATTATAAAATCTTACACATTTGATCCCTAGAATTTTATATTCCATTTACCAACTTTCATACCGTTGTTATAATCACCTTGATATGTGACCTAAGAAGTTCGCTAATAACCTTCACTTTACTCATCCGACCAACCAATCTTAACCGAATCTCCTTTTACACTATCATCATATGATCCTTCTCCACTATAATTACTTCAATAATATGTACATCACATTAAACGACCATTTTTCAAAATAGCTTCTCCAACATGCTTTCCATTCACCAGATTTCTTTCCATTTTTATATATGCCATGATAAGTAACATAAGAATTCCAGTTAAACCCTTCGCTTTATTCAACCCATTCACCAAACTTAACAGAATCTCCTAATACATTATCATCATATGATCCTCCACCACTGACATTTATTGAATATATACATGGCTATTTTTTTCCATTCAAATAGATAAAATCTATAGAAACTATCCCATTTTCCAAATTTTTTGTTATTCGAGTATTCACCGACGTAAGTAATTTATTAATCATCATTAAATCCATCGCTCAACTCAATCCACTTCCCTGTCTTAATTGAATCTTCTGTAAAGAAAATTTCATAAGTACCACCACCACTAAAGTTAGTTAATAGTTAGAACAATATTATTTTACATCTATAATCCCCTATATATAATAACCCATTTGCCAATCTTTCTACCATTTTTATATTCACCAACATGAGTAACTTATGAATTATAATAAAACCCATCATTCAATTCAATCCATTTTCCAATTTTCTATGACTCTTAGTCCTCCTATTATACATAAATTCCTCCACCACTAAAATCGTTGTTACTAATCTTTACATTTTTTATTTTTCTTTATCTTGTTAATTCTCCTGATAAAAAATATCCCATTGACCAACCTTTTTACCATTCTCATACTCACCAACAAAGGTGACTTATGAATCATCATAAAATCCGTTGCTCAATTCAATCCATCTCCCTATCTTAATTGAACCTTAGTGTAACAAAATTTCATAAGATCCATAACCACTAAATTTAATTTAACATTTAATAATATAATTTACATCTATTATCCTCTAAATATCACATCCCATCTACCAACCTTATTGCCATTCTTATACCAGCCATTTGTAAATACTTAAGAGTTAGCTGTAAACCCACCAGCGGGCTCAGTCCAAAAGCCATTTTTCATACCTTCTCCTTAAATATCATATTTTCCTCCTCCACTAAATATAGATTCATTTATTTACATATTTTAATTATTCCAAATGAAATCCATGAACCAATTTTTTTTCCTTCTTCATAAGAGCCCTCTTCAACAACATTTCTCATACTAATGTTTAATATCGTATTTTAATACTCCCAATAATTCTCACATAAATCTTGCCATTTTCCTTATTTTTATCCAGTTTAATTGTAGATACCACCTACAATTTTCTCTCCCTTCCAAAAGTAGTTCCATTAATTAATTTTTTAACCCTCAGAACCATATTCTCCTTTAAATTCTAAATATTTAATTTGTTCTAGATTTATTCCATTTTTTGACCTATTTCAATTTTTTATCTATAATAATAAAAACTGCTAATGTACTTTCCAAGTATTTAACCATCCTTTTGAAAAACCAAATCTCCTGAATTGCAAATCTCGATTAGGAAAGTGGTTTGAACCAATGTATTTTTTGCTTTTTAGAATCCAATGTAATCATACTTTTTTCTCTTTCTCCAATAACACTATAATATTTTGTAATTTTACTTTTTCTTCTCAATTTATTCAATTAAATCTTTTGTTTTTTAGAGAATTGATATATACCTATTCAATTTTCCTATCAGAATTCTATTCAAGTATGTTAATTTTGTATTGAAAGTTGGGCATTACTTCTACAAAGTTGGTCATTAGGTACAGCCATAGCAAGTGTCTGTGAAACGACTTCCATCTTCTTTGAGTGAACTAAGGAGAGGTAAGAAGAGAACGATTGATCGACACTCTTCCCAAAGTTCATCTAGAGATTCCAATAGGGAGATTGTCTAACCTCTTAAACTTTAATAAGTTTTACAGATAAGAATACTGTGAACATCTTCTCTAGTCCATAAGAAGTGAATGAGAATAAAGTGATTTAAGAAATTTTGTAGCATCATAAATAGAGTGCTCTTATTAGTCACATTTAGAGTTATTATTTATTTTAATTATCAAGACACTTTAGATAAGATGCAAATTTGAAATTGTGGTTTGCTAAAACGACATTTCTTTTAAATTTTAGCAGTCATAAACCTTACTTTTTATCAAGCTTTTTAAGATCTTAATCCACAGAGCAAGCATCAAGCGAAGTTTCAGAACATAATAATTATACTAGTACTAGTTGGAGAGCAGCATACTAACTACTTGGAGCAAAAGTTAAAATACAAATTATTTAACATGCTAACTTTTATCACCGTAATCAATTTAAATAGTACATCATACATCAAATTCTTGATATTAACAGATCAGATAAAATTTAGGAAAAATTTTTTCCAAAGAGTGATTAAATTTTTTCAATGATTCTTCTAAAATATGTAGTAAATTGTTTAATAATACTCATTAAAATTATTTAAAGTTTTCTAAAATCATACCTCCTTTAGATTTGAATAAGAATGTTAAATCATAACCTTAATAATTTTCAAATACAGCTTTCGAAATAAAGGCTCCTGAGGCTTGCAAATTTGGATTTTAACATATTCTTAGTATTGTACGATCAAAATTAGCTTAATAATGATTAATTAAATACTGCTTTAAGAAAGCCATAAACGGACAGAGTTATCTGAACTACCAGATGCTAATGCAGTACCATAATTACCATCTAATTTGGCTTTTTATTATACTGTCTTAACATCCCATAAACGGATAGACTTATCATCACTACCAGATGCTAATGTAGTACCATCAGGAGAGTAACAAATTGA